AGCACATACCATAATTGCAGTCATTTCGGCCTGGAACACAGTTGGGTGAGTGCCCATAGGAAGACAAATGTCCACCCCGTTCTGCACTCCATGAATTCCAGCCCCAGTCCCACTTCTTACCTTAGAACCATCAGTATACCATTCAAGGTCGCCTTGTGGAAGAGGATTCCCACCGGACATCCACTCATCCCTGGACGGAAGGAGGACAGTGAATGGTCTGGCGAAGAAGAATCGAGTCGGCATGTGATCCGAGGGCATGTCCATTACCTCCCCTCTTACCTGCTGAGTGATCCGAGAGTGACCTCGGGATCCTCCAACATCCAACCAAAGGTTTTCACACTGGAGTCTGTAGGCAGTCCTCCTCGCAGTGACCTTGACATACAGGTCAATCGGAGTGAGGTTGAGAAGGCAGTCCAGTAAGGCTCCCGGACAGTTGCTCATTGCGCCCGTGATGATGAGACAGGCGAGTCTTTGGACGGCAGCCAGATCTCTCACCGCCGACACTGAGTCCATCTTGGGCCACCACACGAGTGAGCCGTATGTCATGGCGGGCCTTACCACGGAGACAAATAGCCAGTGCATGAGCACCGGCTTGAGCCCCCAGGTTCCTCCCACCATCCGTCTGCAGGCCATGAGTCGATCAATGACCTTTTGGAGTTGTGGCCCCCATTGCAGCTTTCGGTCCAATACCACCCCCAGGTACTTTACCTGATTCTGCATTTCAAGCACTGTGTCTTGTAGTCTCAGAGGTCCTATGCCATTTAGATCGCGCCTCCTCGTGAAGGGGATAACCGCCACTTTGGAGGGGTTGATAGAAAGGCCTACCTCTCTGCACCATTGTCCAACTGACCTCAAGGCTGTGTTCATGAGGTCGGAGACCGTGTTATTGAATTTGCCCATAACTAGTATCACAATGTCGTCCGCGTATCCTTGAACGAATACACCACTATCACTGAGAGATCTAATTAAGTCGTCCACAACAAGGTTCCAGAGAAGAGGAGAGAGTACACCCCCCTGTGGACACCCTCGTGTGGTCCTGGCCTCCAGAACCTCATTGTGAAGAGAGAGTCTTACCTTCCTCCTCTTAAGTAGAGACTCTACCCACCTGCACACCACCTCATGGAATCCACGAGCTCTGGCAGCATTGATTACAGCCTGGGTTTCAGTGTTGTCAAAGGCGCCCTGGATGTCAAGGAACGCCCCAAGGGCAATCTCCTTGAACTCAAACGCCTTGTCGATTCTGCTTACCAGGTGATGTAGGGCAGAGTCACAGGATCTTCCTGGGGTATAGGCGTGCTGGTTTCTATGTAGGGGATTGACTCTGAGGACTGTGTCCCCCACATACCTCAGCACCAGTTTCCCTAGGGTCTTCAACAGGAATGAGGACAGAGAGATGGGACAGAAGGACTTGGGGATCCGTGTAACTTGCCTTACCAGGTTTTGGGATGAAAACCACCCTTGAGATGCTCCAGGCCGGGGGAATGTGTCCCAGGGCCAAGCTGGCCCTGAACAACTTACTCATTGCCGGAAGTAATATATCGATACCTTGCTGGAGACAGACAGGTCTTACCTCGTCAGGTCCAGGTGATTTGTATGGGATGAGTGACCCTATGGCCCATCTCACACGACTGTGTGTCACAATGTGGCACGCAACCCTCCACCGAGTGTTGTTTGCCCTTGCGACAGCTTGTTCCTCATCCTCCGGCACCAATGGCTCGCTTGGGATGATGCAGCCAGGGAAGTGGGTGGCCGCCATGAGCTTTAGCACTTCCTTAGGTTCATACAGCATTTCTCCCCCAGGCTCCTTGAGGGGGCCTAGCTTGGAGGAGTTGTCCTTTGTTAGGACAGTGTATATCCTAGATGTATCTCTAACACTTTCTAGCTTGCTACAGAAATGTTTCCAGGAGAGCCTTTTGGCCCTCCTTACAGCCATATTATATTGGGTTAGCAATCTATGGTAGCCATCCCAATTATTTGTCCTCTTCGTCCACCTGAACTGAGACCTGACTCTCTTTTTCAGGCTGGTGAGCTCTGTGGTCCACCAACTCACTTTACCCTGCTTCCTCACCGTTAGCGGGCAGCTCTCGTCAAAGGACGTGACAATGGCCTCGCCTAAGCTCCCAGAGGCAAGGTCTAGCGTGTTGGTGTCTCTGACCCAAGGGAACTGTGTGTCAAAGCATTCAATGCGCTCTTTAAGAGTTGATCTGTACATATCCCAATCTGCCTTTCTGGGATTCCTGAACTCAATCTTTTCCAAGGAAAAGTTACCAATGTTGAACATGATATGTCTGTGGTCAGAGAGGGAAGGTTCCTGGGATACCCTCCAATCCAGAATTCTGTGACTGATCCCCACGTTGGTTATAGTAAGATCTATTACAGATTCCCCAACCCTGCTATGAAAAGTTGGTTCTGAACCGACATTAGCAATCATTAGACCATTAGAGGCTAAGTATTCAAGAAGTGCCTTACCTCTTGCGTTATTATCCCTACATCCCCCAAGCAGTGTTGTGGGAGTTGGAGTCACAGCCCAGCACGAGGTCGTCGCCGGTCCTGGCCGAGTGCTCGACCAGCTTCCTAACTTCCTCTTGCGGAGGCTGCGTGGGCTCATCTTGCGGCATATATACTGAAGCAAGTAGAAGACGCCGTCCGGACTCCCTGCATTTGGTCTCTACCGTCGTGATGTCTCTGGAACAAAATTCCAGAACCGGCACACAGATGGTGTCATTACTAGTCCAAATGCAGGTTCTAGGATTCCGGACCTGAGCCGAGAATACCTGGCCCCTAGAGACCCCCATTCCCGTTATATTGCCGTCTCTAACCCAGGGTTCCTGGATAAGGGCAAAGTCAAAAGCCCCAACCGCTGTACTCGCACAGAGTACCGCAGTGGCAGCTTTACTGTGCTGTAGGTTCGCCTGCAGTATTCGGATCGTCATCAGGAGCACCTGAAAGAACCTTGAGTTGAACCCTTGTTATACCCAAGAAAATCCTCCAGCCCCTGTCCCTCAGGAACTTGGCACTCCCGCAGTCAATTGCCAGAACCAGAGTTTGGTGTTCCGCCTCTCGCTTGCAACTGACCACTCTCCAGTCTCTGGTTGACAGTCCAGGATTCAGCTTCTGGACAAACTCAAAGATTTCTTTAGGATCTTTCCTGGCCAGGATCCAGTCGGTATGGAGAAGGACCTTGGTGGTACGCAGGAGATCTTTATGATCCCCCACAATCACACTCGGCCCCCCCACGCCCACCGGACCCAGACCAACAGCCACCTCCTTGAGCCAATCTCTGGTCTCCTCGTTTCCGCACATGACTGCGAGGGCACCTTTGTCCTTGTAGGTTTTCAGGATCTGCTGAGGAGTGGCGGCCATAATAACCATCTCAAACAGTTTCTCCTGTAACAAGCAAAATTGTTCATCAGTGAACCTATCGTCAGGATAGTTCTCTGGAACAATCGCCATCTTCCAGCCCGAGAGTTGGTCCTTGAAGGTCAAGTCCTTGCTGGCATCGCCCTCTGCAGCGCTCCTTGGCGGCGGGGGTGGGACATCCCACCTTCTCGGCCGCTTTGGGGTCTGCTGAGTCTGATGCTGCTGCGGTGGACCTGAAACTCTACGCATAGGAGAAATACCAGAGCCCTCTCCTCCAGCAGGACTAGGAGTTTCAGCCTGCCTTTTCCTCTTGGGCTTGTTGACAAACCCTTTGGATTTTTTGTACTCAGCTTTTGAAAGCCAAGTACCCTCAGCCTCCTTCCTTGCCCTGACCTGTGTCCTCCACACACTAGGGGGTAAAGATGGCCGTTGTCTTCTCTCCTGTTCTGGAACAGTTGCACATGCCTGGGTCTCTAAGCTCAGATCCGGTGTTGCCACCTCAGAGGTAGAGCCCAGGGTTAGATTTGAATGGGCGCTTGAGTCAGCCACACTACCCGCCAAAGCCCTGTGTGCTTCCTCAAGCATTTGAACGTCGTCGATACCAAGATTTTGTGGAGATCTAGCAATGAGGGAGCTCCTGGCAAAAGCCTCTTTGCCCCCCTCCACCTTCGTCTCTGAAACATTGTCTGATAATTTGCCCTCCCCAGAATCCATGGGCAAGCCCTCCAAGTTGGAGGGGTGGGATTCACGCCTAGGCGCTGACCCACCTGGGGTAGTTTCCGTAGTTTGATTAGCAGACATCATAGCTTCTGAAACAATACCAGGTTAGCAGTTTGAAGACCGTACCGTGTTCCATACACTCCGCTCATCAATACCTACTCCAGCACCGCTGCACACATACCAGAACTGGAGGGCAGTGCAGCAGCCTTACCGTGATCCGTTCACTCCGCCTGCTGCTCAATTGACACTGAGCCCGGACCGGTGTCCATCACCTCGGCCTCAGGTCATACTAGTGTCGCTGCTCCCCGACCCTAGGGCAGACATTCACTCTGCCACCATAGATCCGCTGCCTTTAGTGATAACAGTGGCACCCCATGTAGGCTGTGACTAAAGGACACAGTACAGATTAACTGACTCACAGCGGTCTTGAGGGAAGGGTGCCACAAGGGCCCACATCCCCCCTGAGGGGCTTACGCTTACCTCTCGCCACCCCACAGACCTTTTTAAAAATCTTGTAAGACCTTACGCTTCTTAAAACAGTTTCATATTTTGAAATATTCGCTAGTTTGTGTAGTTCTCGTTTACGCCTACTTAAAATTCAGATACCAGTTGTAATCTTATTTTTGTTAGGTGAGAATTTTAAGAACGTTGTTTCAGCTACCATGTCGGGACTGGGGTGGAAACCAGCTAGGATTGTAGGGAATGAAGTTAAGAACACGCCTTTGGTCGCTCACGTTGCGGCAAAGAGAATTCGATGAAAACTATAATTTAGATCAATCCTAGTATTATAATTTCAAAACACCTATCCTAACGTATTGGTTGCACAATTGAAAAGAATTGTTTTGATTAAATTATGCCTGTGTCTTTTCTGGTCTATTATGAAACATGGACGATTTATAAATGTGGATTTTGTTTGACAGAATATAGAAGACAAGTCGATAACATGGCTGGCCGAGTGTTGTCCTCAACTACACTACCTGTGCCTATCTGGCTGCTCACATTTGACAGACACTGCACTCATAGTCCTAGCTCAGTACAGTCATCAACTGAGCACTCTGGAGGTGGCTGGATGCTCACAATTCACTGACACTGGCTTCCAAGCTCTAGCTAGGGTCAGTCACATTCTTTGTTTAAAGATCATGATTGGTGATGGTGAGTTGATGTTATTTAAGAGATTTATTTCAGATAATTTCTTACAAGATTAGTAAAAAACAAAGTTTTCAAAGTGTCAGGATCTGTAATCAGGTGGGAAAGTACCTAACCATAATAGTTGTTAAACGGTTGCTCAGTTGATAGAAGTAGGGGTTCCTGGTACCTGTCACTACTCTTGTATTGTACAGGCTCACCCCTTGCTATGCTTGAGGCCCATGTCGCCAAACAAAAGCAAAGTTAACCCTCCTGGTGTGTCACTTTTTTCTGTAGTGTCACGTAATCTTTGGGCATTTTGCAACGATATGTATAAAAATTATAAAAATTCTTTTTTTTTAGAGGAACTATACCATGTTATATATTTTTGTGTAGTTAAATACACACTAGAGGTGTGCGTATATCCAAAAAATTGGGTTGGATTCGGTTCGGTTCGGATATCCTTAACCGACCAGAGCCCAAATTTCTTATCCGACACTATCTGTTAAATATCCGACTTTTTCGAATATACTGTATATTACAAGTAAGTTACGGCATTTAGAGTGAAAACAAAAAGTTCATAAGATAATAATCATTAGTTTCCATTTTCCAAGGACGTTTTTCAAAATTACGTTTCCATCAATGTGATGGGGGTCGTCAACTAAGACTAATTGTCTAGTCGTCAAAACATTCATATGCGCTTCGTCTAGTCTTCACCTTGAAAAATAATCGAATCAAATTCAATTCAATTCAATTCAAAATATCTTTATTCATTCAACAATACAACAAAATAACAATTGACAATTAATATACATTACATAGAATACAAGACATAGTTATAACCAATAGAAATTAAGAATGAATAGTTAGGTTCCTCATTTTCTCGTGTTGAGGAACCATTACAATCTAAAAGACGTACTGGAGAACAAAAACAAATAATACATTATGCTATATATAAAGATTAAACATATTATATAATGGCAAATTTGTATCAAAACAATTTAAAACTATGAAATAAACGTTTTTCCACAGATTCAAATAAAACATTAAAGTGATAGATAATAACAATAAAATACAGTACAGAAAAAAATCAAAACATGTGTACTTCCATTTACAACAACTAGGACAATAATGTTTCAACTCCAGGTAAAGTAAAAAGCCACTTCTTTAACCTATTTACAAATATTTTAGAACTAGTACTTAAACAAATATCCTTTGGAAGAAAGTTAAATAACTTAGGAGCTAGAAAACTAAAAAAGCGTCTAAAAAACTCATTATAAGGGTGTGGAGTAACAACAAAATTTCTAGATCTTAGTCTATCAGAATAAACCTGCTGATTTCCTAAAACGTGACCAGATCTAATAAAAAATATTCTTAGTACTCTGAAAACAAAGAGGTGTCTTAGTGGAAAGATTTTTAGAGATTTAAATAAGGGAAAACAATGTTCTAGCCTGTCTACACCCATAATCAACCTTACTATATTTTTTTGGGCTACAATCAAAGGAATAATGCTGGAGTGGTAAATACCTCCCCAACATGATATGCCATATTGCAGTTTGGAATCCACCAAAGCAAAATAAACAGTTCTTAAAATAGATCGAGGACAGCAAGACTTTAGCAAATAAAATTTTCTTAGGCAAGACCATAGATATTTTTTTAGATTATTTACGTGGGGCTTCCAGCTAACATTTTCATCAACTGTGAGACCAAGATATTTAATGTCTTTAACTTTCTGAATATCCATGCAACCCTTACAAGAGGAAGCCGGTACTCCCTGTAAACAGTGTAAACATTTATAAAGTAGTTTTTGATCTACTACATCGGTTTTATTCCTCAAGGAGAATCGAATGTACTTGGTTTTGTCACTCAGGGCCATTTTGTTTTCAGAGGTGAACCAGATTTTTAATTGATCAAGATCTTCTTGCATATGTCTCATTAAAAGGGCTGAATCCTTATGACAGTAACTAAGAACCGTATCATCGGCAAAACAAGTTATTCTTCCAAAAAATGTTCCTGTACATAAATCATTGATATAAACTAAAAACAGAATAGGGCCAAGCACTGAACCCTGGGGGACACCACAGGTTATGGACAAATTAGAACTAGTGACCTTTTGTAGCTTAACACATTGAGATCTACCGGACAGATAACTATTAAACCAATTCCAGGCAACTCCTCGAACACCTGCATTCCAAAGTTTTGAAAGAAGTATTGTGTGATCAACTGAATCAAAGGCCTTTTTAATGTCCACAAACACACCACACACAACAAACAAATGTACCGTAATAACAATCGTATCTAAGTAACGTGCGGTACTGCAATACGAGACTTATAGTACGGTGCAATTAGACCTAAACCGGGACATCCAAAAAAAAAGTTTCAAACCAGTGCCAAATTGTTGAGTACACTTCCCTCAATATGTAAAAAAAAGTTACACTGATTTGAGTGTCGGGTTTGGGGGGGAGGGGGTGAAAATAGGACTTTTTTTACTTTTTTGCAAATACCTCAAAAACGGTGCGTTTTTCTTAAAACGTAATCAGTTACAAAAATAATCTACATTAAATTTCGAACAAAATGATACCATACAATACCTATCTACTATGAACGGTTCAGGTAATATTGAGGGGTAAATGTGATTTTTTTCTTAAATTCTAAAAAAAGTTGTTTTTTAAATGGAGGAAACCCATGGACACCCATAAAAAAAGTTTCTAATGAATGCCAAATTGTTCAATAAACCCCCCTTAATATGTATAAAAAAGTTACACGGATTTGATTGTCAGATTTGGGAAGGAGGGTTAAAATAAAAGGGGGGGGGGAATGGGACTTTTTTTGCTATTTTACAAATATCTCGAAATCAGTGCGTTTTTCTTCAGATATAATGAATTACAAAAATAATCTACATTAAATTTCGAACAAAATGATACCATACAATACCTATCTACTATGAATGGTTCAGGTAATATTGAGGGGTAAATGTGATTTGTTCTTAAAATTCTAAAAAAAAGTTGTTTTTTATCTGGAGGAAACCCATGGACACCCATAAAAAAAGTTTCTAACAAGTGCCAAATTGTTCAATAAGCCTCCCTTAATATGTGTAAAAAAGTTACACTGATTTGAGTGTCGGATTTGGGAAGGAGGGTTAAAATAAAAGGGGGGGGGGGAATAGGACTTTTTTTGCTATTTTACAAATATCTCGAAAACGGTGCATTTTTCTTAAAATATAATGAATTACAAAAATAATCTACATTAAATTTCGAACAAAATGATACCATACAATACCTATCTACTATGAACGGTTCAGGTAATATTGAGGGGTAAATGTGATTTTTTCTTAAAATTCTAAAAAAAGTTGTTTTTTATCTGGAGGAAACCCATGGACACTCATAAAAAAAGTTTCTAACAAGTGCCAAATTGTTTAATAAACCTCCTTTAATATGTGTAAAAAAGTTACACTGATTTGCGTGCCGGTCTTGGGTAGGAGGGTGTGAAAACGGGGTTGGGAATTTTATTCATAAGTAATTTTGTAAATTTTGTTAAGTAACATTTTTTATTTTCCATTTTAACACAAATATAACTACAATATAACTAAATATGACTTACCTACCTAAAAAAGACAAAACCTACCTAGATACGGGAACACGGTGAACTTTCTACCGTTTGAATTCTCAAGAAGATCGAATAAAAACGATTTTTAGTTGTAAAATTATTGTGATCAAGGCTACGCTATTCAGGGTTGCCTCATTTTACATATAAAAATCGTGATATTTATTTATTTTTTATTTTTTTAAAAGCCAAATAAAAGTGTTACAGACATTTTTTCATAAAATTAGCCATATTCAGCAATTTCAATTAAAAAAATTAAATGCCCGCCATTTTAAAATTTTTATTGGATTAAGATAATTTGTTTCTAACGTGGGTCTATTTTACCTCAACATACATACCAAGTTTGTTAATGATCGGTTAAAAAATTCAGAAATAATGTTTTTGTGAAAAAACAAAATGGCAAATAACGAAGCGATTTTGGAAAAATTTTCTTGATTTTCTTTTTATTTTCACCCATAGAACCATTTCCTGGGGTTTGGCTGTTTACTTACAGGACTCCCTGTATACAGGATGTCTCACCTAAAGTGAACCAATAGCTAACTTTTTTATAATGAGTTATACAGTTGACTTCGTATGGGACACTCCCCTTTATTTTTTTAGATGATTTGGAATGGTTCCTAATTTTAAAAATATGTTCGCCATTTTCCAATATATCCGACAACTTTGTTATTTCTTATGGAACACCCTGTAGTTTATGATTGTTTTAGAAAATAAATCCAATTTAAAACATTTTTAATTTTGACATTTTCTCTTAAAAGCTACTAGTTTAGGAGTTACAGCATGTTACACTTATGGAAAAAAGGCTTGTTGTGTACATTCCGCATCCTGTAGCTCATAAACGAGTACCTAAGTTAATGAAAATGCAAAGAACAAAAACTTTTTTATGGGTATCCATGGTTTTCCTGCATTTAAAAAACAGCTTTTTAGAATTAAAAAGAAAAATCACATTTACCCCTCAATATCTCCTAACACGTTCATGGTAGATAGGTATTTTATGGCATCATCTTGTTTAAAATTTAATATAGATTATTTTTGTAATTCATTATATTTTAAGAAAAACGCACCGTTTTCGAGATATTTGTAAAATAGCAAAAAAGTCCCATCCCCCCCCCTTTTATTTTAACCCTCCTTCACAAATCCGACACTCAAATCAGTGTAACTTTTTTACACATATTAAGGGAGGCTTATTGAACAATTTGGCACTTGTTAGAAACTTTTTTTATGGGTGTCCATGGGTTTCCTCCAGATAAAAAACAACTTTTTTTTAGAATTTTAAGAAAAAATCACATTTACCCCTCAATATTACCTGAACCATTCATAGTATATAGGTATTGTATGGTATCATTTTGTTCGAAATTTAATGTAGATTATTTTTGTAATTCATTATATTTGAAGAAAAACGCACCGATTTCAAGATATTTGTAAAATAGCAAAAAAAGTCCCATTTCCCCCCCCCCCCTTTTATTTTAACCCTCCTTCCCAAATCCGACACTCAAATCCGTGTAACTTTTTTAGACATATTAAGGGGGGTTTATTGAACAATTTGGCATTCATTAGAAACTTTTTTTATGGGTGTCCATGGGTTTCCTCCATTTAAAAAACAACTTTTTTTTAGAATTTTAAGAAAAAATCACATTTACCCCTCAATATTACCTGAACCATTCATAGTAGATAGGTATTGTATGCTATCATTTTGTTCGAAATTTAATGTAGATTATTTTTGTAATTCATTATATTTGAAGAAAAACGCACCGATTTCGAAATATTTGTAAAATAGCAAAAAAAGTCCCATTCCCCCCCTTTTTATTTTAACCCCCTTCCCAAAGCCGACACTGAAATCCGTGTAACTTTTTATACATATTAAGGGAGGTTTATTGAACAATTTGGCATTCATTAGAAACTTTTTTTATGGGTGTCCATGGGTTTCCTCCATTTAAAAAACAACTTTTTTTAGAATTTTAAGAAAAAAATCACATTTACCCCTCAATATTACCTGAACCGTTCATAGTAGATAGGTATTGTATGGTATCATTTTGTTCGAAATTTAATGTAGATTATTTTTGTTTTTGAGGTATTTGTGAAAAAGTAAAAAAAGTCCTATTTTCACCCCATTTTCACCCCCTCCCCCCCAAACCCGACACTCAAATCAGTGTAACTTTTTTACACATATTAAGGGAGGCTTATTGAACAATTTGGCACTTGTTAGAAACTTTTTTTATGGGTGTCCATGGGTTTCCTCCAGATAAAAAACAACTTTTTTTTAGAATTTTAAGAAAAAATCACTTTTACCCCTCAATATTACCTGAACCATTCATAGTAGATAGGTATTGTATGGTATCATTTTGTTCGAAATTTAATGTAGATTATTTTTGTAATTCATTATATCTGAAGAAAAACGCACCGATTTCAAGATATTTGTAAAATAGCAAAAAAAGTCCCATTTCCCCCCCCTTTTATTTTAACCCTCCTTCCCAAATCTGACACTCAAATCCGTGTAACTTTTTTAGACATATTAAGGGGGGTTTATTGAACAATTTGGCATTCATTAGAAACTTTTTTTATGGGTGTCCATGGGTTTCCTCCATTTAAAAAACAACTTTTTTTAGAATTTTAAGAAAAAAATCACATTTACCCCTCAATATTACCTGAACCGTTCATAGTAGATAGGTATTGTATGGTATCATTTTGTTCGAAATTTAATGTAGATTATTTTTGTTACTGATTATGTTTTAAGAAAAACGCACCGTTTTTGAGGTATTTGCGAAAAAGTAAAAAAAGTCCTATTTTCACCCCATTTTCACCCCCTCCCCCCCAAACCCGACACTCAAATCAGTGTAACTTTTTTTTACATATTGAGGGAAGTGTACTCAACAATTTGGCACTGGTTTGAATCTTTTTTTTTGGATGTCCCGGTTTGCTCTTTTTTTAAGCTAATTGCACTGTACTATTATAAAAACCTAAAAATTGTAGTTTTGACCTAAATATTAACTACCAAAGGAAAGCCTAACAGAACACTAAATTTAAACCTTGTATTTATTATTTTCTTTCTAGAGTTTTACTTAAGCCTACACTAAAATATTCATGAGCTCATGTCACCACAGATCATATTGCCTCTACTCATACTCACACAAACACGAACATAAACACACTCGTACATTGTTAAATAAAATTACGACAAAAGGTTCTCATGGACGGAACAAAGGCCTGTGACGAACAGTATTTATTTAATAGTACCGTCGTGGGAGCCGGCTGGAGAACACTGAAGGCGACGATGTATGTTTGGACATGGACTCGTCCTGCGGGGGTTGTCAGTCGAAGATGGACTTGTGAATGATTTTATTAAAAGTTAAGACAATTAAGTGACATTAATGTTTAACCAAGCTCCTTGTTTTGTTCTATCATGCTCATGTTTACTTTGTAAACGCTTCACCACAACATTAAACTGCATTAAAAAAAGAGAAACGTGACAAAATAACTTATTTTATTTTTTTGCATCACATTGCATTAATTAAATATACAAGACTCAATAAAAGCTCGGGACTAGCTTTTCTCAAAGAGCTTGGTGTGCACTTTACAAAAAGAAAAATAGGTTTCTAAATTGATGCTCTTGGACGTTACAGAATTGTAGACTGCTTGAGAAGATGGACTTAGAAGAGTGTGTGCTCATTACAGATGCAACCCTTATTCATCTTGCAATGGGATGTCCTCGACTGGAGAAACTGGTATGTTACAATACTGTGATTTCATTGGATAGCACATTTTGTATCCTAATGTCATTGCGTCACTGGGTACATAAATACTTATGGATGTTGATGGTAACTATATATTCATAAGGAAGAAACATCCTTCATCTAAATTAAAATATTAAGTCTTTCTTTTTGTAAGAAAATAGAAAGCAATTTAGGGTGTTTTAGTGTGTGATTTTTAAAACAAAATGAAATACTACTTTTTGTTGCTTCTTGAGCAGTAGTTTGAATATCACCTATATTACCCCAGCTCTTGAACTTGGGATAGCTAAAAAGAGTAGTGTTTTAATAACAACTGGATCAATTGACAGTACAAAGTAATATCAATAATTTCAGCTTAAATTCAGTGATCCAGAGGCTATTTCAAAACACAATACAGAAACATGAATAAAATAAATTCGGTGGATGATACATAATACAACTATGGAATATAATTTTTATTTGTGAACTCACACTCATTTCACTGCAACAAATGATTCTGCCCCTTTCTTTGAAAGATCAAATGCATCTTCCACAGACCTTCCCAAAATTCATACCCCTCTCCTCAGGCAAGATTATTACCATTTATTTCCATTCCACAACTTGATACAACTATTCGGATCCCTTTCTTGCTTCATTGAGATCTTTAGGAATTAGGCGACTTGCTGGCTCAGTCGGTGAAATCTGCTGCTCCTTAAAATCAATCAGGCCAGTTCATTCTATTTTATACCGGCTCACTCCTTACTTATCTTGATACGGCTCATGGGAGGCCTTTGAGGTCCATATGGACTGGAAAATTCAAGGTTAAGAGAAGCTGTCAACTAAAATGATGTATATTATAAAGTTATAATATATATACCTTACTATATATCGCACTGTAATGTGTAATAAAGTATTTATGATGCCTATTTCAATTGCTCCTGAGCCGTCAAATCAGACATTGCTGATTCAGGAATGATCGCTTGTTGTTTTTGATTTTTCATTTTATTTTTCTTACTGGCAACTAGGGGTCTGCGGGTCCCCGAATTGATCGTGTCGGGTCGGGCCAGCGGAAGGCCCGAGAGACCGGGGCGGGTCAAAGATTTGTTCGAACCAAGATCGGGTCGGGCCAAAAAACGAATCGGCTATTAATTTGTTTTTAAAGAAACACAAACCTGTAATTATATCTATTATTGCAAAGGAATTAAAATGTTAAAATGAGAATTAAATATTAAGTTTGGTTATAAGAAATAAGACTATTTATCCAGAGGTACTAGTTTAATTGTTTATTGTTTATGCCATACCTAATTAAAAATATATTTTAGTAAATTACATAATACAAGAAAAGTAATAAAGAATCTGAAAGAAGGATCTGAAACTCGTTCTTTTATTTTCCTATTGTCCTTTGTGTCATTCAGTAACAACATTTCTGATCGTCTGGTTCGACATCAGCAAGTAAGTCAACAAAGAGGTTAGGCCTAAATGTTTTATCATTTTTGGAAAGTTTAATAACAGTAAAATGACTTTTTTTCGTAAGTTAGAAGGGGTTTCAAAAACTATATTTCTAAGATCAAATACAATATATACAAGACACTAACTACCATAAATTAATTTCTTTGAAAATAATCTGTAACAGTTTTATGTTTTTGAATTAAGAAATATATCTTTTTGTCTCTACTTCCTTGTTTCTTACACAATGTTGTCAGCAATTGGAGCAACCGAATGGTGTAAGAGGGGAGGGGGAGGGTCTATGACCTTGAGTGCCCCCGGGCCTGGCTGGTGAGAGTGATTCATGGTTTTTGTTTACATCCTACTGATTTTGTTTACGATTCTGATTCCTTCCTTCCACCCCGCAGTTTCAAGTTTCAAAAACATTGACTTACAGTTTAAAAACATTGACTTGTGTTGCTAATTAGGGCAACTAGTGTCGCTCCTTATGTTGCCAAGTTGGCATTTTATTTTCTTTTCTTTTGATTTAATATAATCTTCTATATATTGGTTAAGAGTTCCTTTTTGGGTACCTAATTAATTGTGATATTGTTTGACTTGAGTTTATGGATTTTTATTTCTTTTCATTTACGGTATTAGCAATCAAAATCAGTTGTTTTTACATTTTAATCTCTTGCAGTAGGTCTATACATACTATTGTTTGACATGATATGCAATTTTTACAGTCTTTACTAATTATACAGTAAACAATGTGTGTGTTAGTTACTGTTTTTGAGTTTTATAGTAAATCAGTTTACACAACATCTTTTCTTCAATCAGATCAGTTCTCCACTTGTCGTGTTTCTTAGCCTATTTTAGGCCCTATAAACACAATTCATATGTAAAGCTGTAGGCCTACTAATGCCAATAATAGATAAATTATGTATTTATGATGCTGTAACTAATAATGCTATTGCAAGTGTGAGGTTTTTATACTTAAGAGGTTAGGAGGCAGGGAATGAATGATACATATTGATTAGTGGAATAATAGAATTTTTATTTTCTTCTTTCTTGCAGTCTTAAAGCCAGTCAACAGGCCCTAAAATTGTGATATGTTAATTGATTTGTTTATGATCGTTTTTTCTTTTTATATCAGGTTCCATTCAAAATTTGTTGTAATTTAGTTATTTCAACAGTTATGGGAAAGAATGTCTTCATAAAAAATGTTATTTTCTTCTTTCTTGCAGTTGAGGCAATTCCCAAGCTGTAAATAAGATATGAAATTGAAATAATATACATAAATACATTTTTTTCATATTTTATTATCAAGTAATATTATAAACACAGATAGAAGTTAAAACAATTAAAAATCCGGTAATTAATGAATTTTGTCTTGAATCTTGAGACCCAAGGACCAAAATGATCGGCCCGACCCAACCCGACCCGAACTAAAAAGGTCTGTCCCGCAGACCCCTAGTGGCAACTTAAGTCATTTTTGGTTTTTATCTCAGACTCTGTGGGACCTATGCTAGGCCTGTCTAACCCTTTTTAAGGTTCCTACGTGTAACCCTGTTGGTAAGCCGAGTGGTTCTACCTGGTTTATCTACTTGTGTAATTTTATTTTTAAGTAGTGTGAACGCACAGTGTCCTGTCTAAATTATAGGTCCCCACCAAACCCCACTGACTAGAGGGGCGATAATAAGTGTTGTGTCTAGTGACACTTTTATTTTATTCTGAGCTCTACTTAACTAAGACTAATATTAATTAAGACTACCGAAAACACCTCTGGAGGATCCCAGCAACCCTACTCCTGCGAGTCCTGGGACTTTGTCCATTTTTTAGGTGGCGTAATTTCCTGCGTAACTCTTTGTATTTACCTGGCAGGAAATACGCGTCACAAGTGCTCAAGTTAATGGATAACTCCTTGTCCAATGATTTGGGTCTGTTATTCCCTATTTTACATATTCCAGATATTTTATTTCAACTCGCCACTAGGTAGCAGAGACTGAGTTTTGACGGCCCTATCCCTATTGAGGCTACCAGCCGCCTAATACCCATGAAATTCATGTGCTAGCCTTCCATTGGTTCTAGGTGCCACCCTCATATTTGTCTATGTGCTGATCACACGTAATCTAGCCTGGCATGAGGATCCAAACAAATCAAGCTGGTGATTTCTCTCACTCCATTTATCACTGTAGACAAGGGTTCATATCAACCCAACAAGATGGTATTATATCAAGTGTGGCGATTGTTTATTGGTACTTAACCGATTAAGGTGGTGCAGTAAAACCTCACTAACTCGACAATTTGTGGAATTAGAGGTTTTTGAGTTTCAGTGTTGTCGAATTATCCATAACATTGAAACTTTGCAAACGCGATGGTAAAAGCTCGGCTTGAGCTCGATTTTCTGACTTAGTGCTCGATCTCTCAATTTCAAGCTTGTATCAGCTTGGTGGCTCAAGCTTGTTGGATCAGCTCAGCTCGAAAATCGAACTGCTTCACATGAAAAGTCTAACACAACGATAATAAGGCAAAGCCAGCAAGACAAGCGCCCTGTCAGCTGAAGACTGTCGAGTTAGTGAGGTTTTACTGTATTACATTAAGTGGAGTGGTAGTTGGGTGAAGGTGGTATTGCATTAAGTGTGGTGGTGGTTGGGTGAAGGTGGTATTACATTAAGTGTGGTGGTATTTGGGTGAAGGTGGTATTGCATTAAGTGTGGTGGTGGTTGGGTGAAGGTGGTATTACATTAAGTGTGGTGGTATTTGGGTGAAGGTGGTATTACATTAAGTGGGGTGGTAGTTGGGTGAAGGTGGTATTACATTAAGTGTGGTGGTGGTTGGGTGAAGGTGGTATTACATTAAGTGGGGTGGTAGTTGGGAGAAGGTGGTATTACATTAAGTGTGGTGGTGTTTGGGTGAAGGTGGTATTACATTAAGCGGGATGGTGGTTGGGTGAAGGTGGTATTACATTAAGCGGGATGGTGGTTGGGTGAAGGTGGTATTACATTAAATGTGGTGGTGGTTGGGTGAAGGTGGTATTACATTAAGTGTGGTGGTAATTGGGTGAAGGTGGTATTACATTAAGTGGGGTGGTAGTTGGGTGAAGGTGGTATTACATTAAGCGGGATGGTGGTTGGGTGAAGGTGGTATTACATTAAATGTGGTGGTGGTTGGGTGAAGGTGGTATTACATTAAGTGTGGTGGGGGTTGGGTGAAGGTGGTATTACATTAAGCGGGATGGTGGTTGGGTGAAGGTGGTATTACATTAAGTGTGGTGGTAGTTGGGTGAAGGTGGTATTACATTAAGTGTGGTGGTGGTTGGGTGAAGGTGGTATTACATTAAGTGAAGTGGTAGTTGGGGGAAGGTGGTATTGCATTAAGTGTGGAGGTGTTTGGGTGAAGGTGGTATTACATTAAGTGTGGTGGTGGTTGGGTGAAGGTGATATTACATTAAGTGTGGTGGTGGTTGGGTGAAGGTGGTATTACATTAAGTGTGGTGGTGGTTGGGTGAAGGTGGTATTACATTAAGTGTGGTGGTGTTTGGGTGAAGGTGGTATTACATTAAGTGGGGTGGTGGTTCGGTAAAGGTG